AACCACAGCCAACATTTGAACACAATATTATAATATATATTATAATTATAATATATATTGTAATTAATCTTCATCAGATAATTATTATTTAAATTAATTGAACCCATAAATGATACTAGTATTTTTAGAAACTCATTATGATTTTAAGAATATTAAGGATAGTTAAATATCTTTAAAACTTAAACTAGCTATTAAGTCATGGTTAATCTAAATTATTTTTGGATAAATGTTAATGGTAGGGATGCATGTAAGAAATTTTAATATTAAAAGGGATATATATGTTATATAAAAAATAGTAAGGCCCAATAAATTATCGACGATAAAATGCCCTAGAAATCAAGAATTATGTATTTGATCCCAATTGTAAATTTTGATGGTTAAATTATTAGATAAATTTAGTAAAATTATGACCAAGTAAGAGGCAAAAATTAATGAATATTAAGTTATAAAAGGCATGTAGCAATTCTACAAAGTACATATAGCAACTCTATAACAACTTAAAGAAAAATAAAACTCAACCCATGGAGAGGAGAAGAAAAAAAAAAAACTTAGAAATCAAAGTTATGATCCCTAACAGGTGGATTAAATTGAAAATTAAAGTAGATGATTTTACAATACAAATATTAAAAATGTCCAAATAAACTTTCTAGGAAAATATAATGCTTAATAATTCTCTGCATGATGGTGGTCATGATTTGCACTTACCACCAACTCTCAACTCTCAACACCCCAAAAATCCAAAGCAAACCCTAATGCTTATCTTAATCCTTCCTCTAACCTCCATTAGTAGTTTTAAGGCCCCAATCTTGACAGTGTTAGACCTTAGAATCCTAATATTAAACATAAATTATTGCCTTATAATTCTTAATGTCGACCATCACACACAAGTCCACCTGATTTTGACCCATGTAGTTATTATTATGGCATGCATTTGTATGTTATTAGATCGATCTTAACACTATATTATTATTAATCTGTTAGCTATACCTACAAAATAATTCAGAGGCATAATTTACATAAACAAGTTGTGTACATCCAATTGAAATTCTATTAAAATAGGAGTAACAAATGATTAATTTGTGGTGTCATTTAGTTTTCTTAATGAAAGAAATTATGCAGGAATTGACTAAAAAATCATGATGTTACTAATCTAATCTCAGCTAATAAACCTGTCTCCTAAATCATGGGAAAACTTAATCTTATCAAACTATATAAATTAGAACATCTTAGCACCTCAGTTTGCCTAACCAAGCTTGATTATTTTTGAATTAGCTGCTATCAATGTATATAATGTGGCTGCAAGCTTCATAGTATGTGTGTGTGTGTGTGTGTGTGAGAGAGAGAGAGAGAGAGAGAGAGAGAGAGGATAAGCCAAACAAAGAATCTTAATGATTGGGAATATTTAATCCTTATATGTAACTTCTTTTGTGAGATAGTTTGGGCATATGTCTCTCTCAAAACAATTTGACACAATAAAAAGCTGTCCTCCACAAGCTAAGAGGACCATGACAACCCTACTGCCTCTTGGCCTGAAATAGATGTTTTGGTGCCATCTTCTATGATGTATTATGTATAGTCAAAATGCTGTCTTCTATGAGTACCATCTGATTTGAAGTAATCCATGTTGATGTTGCTTACTTTTTTGTCATGCTTCAACAACCTCTGTGATGCAACTTGCATGATATCAACCCTCCTGTTCCTGCACAGCAGCATGTTTGATTGCATCTTATGCACAGTTACTGGTATTTGTTGTTGTGGCATTTTACTTGTTTAACTAAATTATGTGTAACACCTGAAGCTTAGTGTGGATAAAGATTTAAATTGATTTATCATTAGATTTAAATATCTTGAACCAATAGTTCACATCTGAGCCTACCTGAACATGATAGTTACTTATTTCATCAAATCAAATATGACATTAAAGTCAACATAAAATTAAGCATAGTAAAAGATTCAAGTAGGAAATGATTAACTATGAAAGGATCCCAAAACATAATTATTGAGTGGAACATATCTATTTGATTCTGAGTCATATTCTAACCTAAGGATGCCAAACCATATTATTTGATTTTCAAACTCTTAATATCCCCATGCTTAGTTTCATAATAAAGTGGATAAAAAATTAAATTAATTTATAAAAATATGATAGATATATTATATTAATTTATACTTAATTATTTTGGATCAATAGTCACCTATAATTGTGAGTTACATAAAACAAAGGGAGAATGTTTCATTCTGCATCTTATAATGATGAGTTCACATTGTTCAGAATGTAACAAGAGCTAGAGGAATGGCAGGAGTTCTAGCACTCTTGAGGCCATCTAAACTGGAGTCCTCTGCCCTGGTAGCCTAGACTTCACAAAAAAGTACAGATGAACATATAAAGGTCCTACAGTCACATGAAAGGTCATTACCTTTACATCCTGACAGTGGATATGTAGGCCACTTGGGTTACAAGGATGCAAGGAATTGAGTGACACAAGAAAGGAGGGTCATTCTTCAGTGTCAATGTGACCTTGAGCAGCAGCCATTATTGCTGTGAATCCCCACATAGCCCAGAAATCATGAGCTGGATGGAGACCAACAGGCTTCCACTTGCATTCCTAAGCTGAATGGTAAAGAAAGATGTCAATGGGAAGCTACATCATCCTTCTTCATGTTTTGGATTAAATGTTTGATCTTATGAGTTGAGTCATGAGGCAAGTCCAAAGCTTTGCAGACCACAGATTGAGATAAAAAGAATATTCTAAATCACAGATTTACTTGGAAGTAATGACAGATTTAGGATACTACTTCTCAGGTTCTAAGAGAAACTATTTTGCTATTCAGTTTTACATGTCTTATCCATTTCATTGTCATCTTTGAAGGTTAAAGAAGGCTGCTAAATTTATGGTTTCATTCTTTTAGAGATCATTTCTGCTAGAAAAATAGACTGAACAACTGCATGAAAAGAAGCCCAGTCTGCCTCCCATCTCTGATTTGAAGAGAGCATACATAGCAGATCATTGAGGACTGGTCTACACCTTGAAGCCATCTATGATGGTGCTGAGAAATCTCAAAAATAAATAAACCAGTGGATTAATAATGCATATTTATGAGGAAAAAATGGCTCAAGATCCTTTTTATTTTCTGGCAGACAGACAACTTGCTGTTTCCAAGTGGCATCATAGCTCTATTATTTGTACCCTCCCTCATGAATGTGTTTGCAGGTTTTGGGCAAAAAGCTGATAAAAATTGGAAAACATATAAAACTATTCCAATTTGCTTGAACTATTTCATAATATGTAATCCTCCTACCAAGACAAGTCTAAGGTACATTGAATCTAAACAATTCTATTACTTCAAAAAAATGGCAACAATACCCAAAAAAATTCGGACTTTGTTTAATTAAACATAATTACACTTGATTAACTTGATACTGTGACTCACAATAACCAGAATCTACAGAATCTCAGAGATGCCAAATAAATGTACCTATGAACATTTGAAACATGAGGTTATATTGTTTGAATGTGGAAGACCCATATAGCTCATACAAGCTTCCAATAAATCTGATTCCAAGGATTTTAGATAAAAGCATAGTCTATATCATATCCTCCAAACCACAATGGAATCAAAACCAAACTAATAAAACTGATGAGTTTCGAGTATACTTGATGATGGTGTAATTGACTCACTATAAAGGTTGATAATTTGATTTATTATTCTATACAATTTTTAAGATATCAAGAAGCTTAATCGATAAATGTTCGAATACTAGTTGGACTATATTTTATTAAAATTTAGAGGGTATAAAGTTTTACTCAAAAGTCAAATAATAGATGATCGATAGCGAAGTGTTGATAAATTCTACATCGATATGGATTATGGATTGCTTCCAAGAGTGATCTTATCACCAATTGGTCTCACCTTAAGTCATGGCGATGAGGACTAGGCCATGGCATAAAGCTGTAAGACAGTAACAAAGCAATTAACAACGAGGATGGTATTGAGGATAGTTAAATGACAATAAACGTTAACAACACTAAAAACGATGAGAATGATGATAATAACGATGGCAAACAAGGGTAGCATTATTCAATACAACATTGAAGTTGTATTCTCAAAATTCTTGAAAGATGATGGCAGCAAATTGTACAACAAAATTCGGTTTATTATGAATATTTTGTTAATAATAGTCTATATATAATGTTGTTAAATGAAAAATGACAATAGACAATGGCCTAAATGGTATTTAGAAACTTGCACCACATTTTTGTGTGCCAAAAACAATGTGGTGATGGTTCCAATGATGTGCAAGTGATCTTAAAAAATATAAATTATTTGAAGAGTCAATAATCATCTTAATCAATGAAGTATATGATCAAAGAAACATGCTTGTACAAGGACATTTATAAGCATCTATCATTAAGCTTTGCTTCAGCTATCATATGATATCTCCCCTCTACTTGAAGACAACAAGCAATCCCTCTCTCTCTCTCTAAAATTGCACTTACTGAATGATAGATAGTTATGAATGCTAAGTTCATTATATAAGTGGGATCAAACCAAAAGAAGATTGTTCCATCTGAAGGACAAGGTTTTCTACTCCTTGACGGCATAAGTTTGTCATTGGCTGAAATTTTGAACCGTCAATTTCTCGCTCGACGAGTTTGCACAAACTCTTTCTTGTGGCCCGACGACAGCTCGACTTGGATATTAGATAATCCATCCACTAAATAGCTGAGCAATAAGATATTGAATGGTTCCAAAATCTAAGCATGGAAGATTCCGCAAACCTGATTCGGAACCTTGGTAATGACCCCCCAAACCCAGGATTCGAACCTCTTCAACTTTTCTCCTGTCCTTGCTCGGGTAGTCTTCTTGTATATACTATATATATACACACACACACATTCGTATCTCTTCCTTCAATTCTCGAGAAGAGAAAGAAGAAGAAGAGAACCATTCTTTGTTCTTCTTCTTCTTCTCTTTGCTGCAACTACTGCAGCAGTGGAGTTAGTTTAGCTTGCGAACATGGCGTTGCCGATGGCGTACCAGACGGGACCCGCCGTGCCCGACTGGCTCAACAAGGGCGACAACGCATGGCAGATGATCTCGGCCACGCTCGTCGGCCTGCAGAGCGTGCCGGGGCTCGTCATCCTCTACGGCAGTATCGTGAAGAAGAAGTGGGCCGTCAACTCCGCCTTCATGGCGCTCTACGCCTTCGCCGCAGTCTGGATCTGCTGGGTCACCTGGGCCTACAACATGTCTTTCGGCCACCATCTGTTACCCTTCTGGGGCAAGGCCGGCCCTGCACTCGGGCAAAATTTCCTCCTCAATCAGGCGATACTGCCGGCAACCGAGCACGATCACAAAGACGGCACCCTGGAGACGGGCGAACTCGAACTCCTGTACCCCATGGCCTCCATGGTGTACTTCCAGTGCGTCTTTGCGGCCATCACCCTCATCCTCCTTGCCGGCTCCCTCCTCGGCCGCATGAACTTCAAGGCGTGGATTCTCTTCGTCCCCTTGTGGCTCACCTTCTCCTACACCATCGGCGCCTTCTCCCTCTGGGGAGGCGGCTTCCTCTTCCAATGGGGCGTCATGGACTACTCCGGCGGCTACGTCATCCACCTCTCCTCCGGCATCGCTGGCTTCACCGCCGCCTATTGGGTTCGTCCCCACAACCCACTTCCAACCCATCTTTTCTATTCTCATTAGCAGTAGTTGATCGAAGTCATGGGCACGGGATTGATAGGTCGGTCCGAGGTCGACCAAGGACAGGGAGAGGTTTGTCCCCAACAACTTGTTGCTGATGCTGGCCGGAGCCGGGCTGCTGTGGTTGGGGTGGGCGGGGTTCAACGGCGGCGACCCCTACGCCGCCAACATAGACTCTTCGCTCGCGGTGCTCAACACCAACATCTGCGCCGCCACCAGCCTTCTGGTCTGGACGTGCCTCGACTCCATCTTCTTCAAGAAGCCCTCGGTGATCGGAGCGGTGCAGGGAATGATCACTGGCCTCGTCTGCATCACTCCCGGTGCAGGTACTCGTCATCTCTTCGTCCTACGCCATCCCCACGCTCACCTTACACACACTCCATCGTCTACTTCCTCTGCAACACTAAGATCCCAACTCTCTTGTGTCTGTCAGGGCTGGTCCACGGTTGGTCTGCCATAATAATGGGAATGCTATCTGGCAGCGTTCCCTGGTTCACCATGATGGTGGTGCACAAGCGCTCCCGCCTGCTCCAGAAAGTGGACGACACCCTCGGCGTCTTCCACACCCACGCCGTCGCCGGCTTCCTCGGGGGCGTAACCACCGGCATCTTCGCCGAACCCCGTCTCAGCGGCCTCTTCGTCGCCGTCACCAACTCCCGCGGCCTCATCTACGGTAGCCTTGTGCAGGTGCTGAAGCAGGTGGTGGGTGCCATGTTCGTCATCGGGTGGAACGTGGTTATGACCACCCTCATCTGCGTCGCCATTAGGTACGTGATGCCGCTGCGCATGTCGGAGGAGCAGCTCGCCATCGGCGACGACGCAGTGCACGGCGAGGAGGCCTACGCGCTGTGGGGCGACGGGGAGAAGTACGATTCCACCAAGCATGGCGTGCACGATGACGAGACGCTGCACAACAAGGTGGCCACCGGAGTCACACAAAACGTATAAGAAGATATCCAAGTTGTCAGCAAGCACAAAGTCTGTTCAAGCGTAAGAGGAGGGAGTGATAAGGACATTGGTAATTGAGTTGACACCTTTTGTTACGCCCAGTTCATTGGGTAACGAATAAATAGGGTTCTAGTTTGAAGTTTGGAGAAGTGTGCATGTCGCTTGTAACCCTAGGTTATTTAATTTGATCTCAAAAACTTGATTTGTGCCCACCTCATATCTATGCAATATATTCAAACTTGGAGTTGAAAAGAAGTCATAGGATCCATCTCGATTTGTGCCCATGTCGCTTCCCATTATTGCGGATCATGGTTGATCAAATCTACTAAAAGAATTTGAGAGTTTGAGAATAAAAAGAATCCACTTCATGTGAAATCATCATTCGCTTATACTGAATTATCTCTCCAGTCTGCACCTAATTTCCACTCGACTAAATAAAAAGGCTCTGTTGGAAGAATAATCAATTCAGCAGGCATAGCAAAATGTTCAACATTTGTATGTGCAATAAGAATTACTGGATAAACACGATCACCCAACTAAATGCTAATCCAAGTGCGCAAGAGCGTGTTTTGTTGCCACCTGTTTTGAGTTTATGAGAGGCGGATAGCATCAAGCAAAGGTTAAAAAATCGACATGTTTGTCGCCTTTGCTTCTCTCGCAAGCAATGACTCGATGCCAATGTCCCCGTTCCACCGGAAACACAGGGTCTCAAACAACATATGAAGCTTGAAGCGATGCCAGATATCATGTTTGATATCTGAGGATGATTCAGTACACGACACTGTCAATTCCCTTCCGAGTGAATTTTGAACTGTGGCACATTTGTTTGCTATGCACATTGCTCGAGGAATCCATAGGTCAATCACTTGATCTTTTGCATCCTGCACTTAATCTTCACAAAAGGTGTCACAAATTTCAACAAAAATTGAGGGATATCTCAATACCAAAGAAGGTAATAACATAAATAGGACAAATATCATAAAAATTGCATAACGGGTGATTATTGTTTACCACGGACCGAAGGACCCTTGATTTCAATCCATTATATCGTTTTGCTGGTTTGCCATGAAATTTCTGTTTTCGACTGTCCCAAGGAGAGAAGATGAACTTATGCAGGTATCTATCTCATAAGCCCGTCTGATCATGTGATGGCACAGAGTTCATAAGGCAAAACCATGACCAGCAAAATCCTCTTCCTCTCCGCTGCTGAACGACTCCATGACTTCACTGTCCTCAACATCCTCATCACCCTCGGCCATGATCTCGAGCAACCCTTGACCACCCTCAAAGTCTAGCTCATCTTCATTTAAGTCGCCATCATCTAGCTCGTCCACGCTGTCAATATCTTCATCATCCTCATTACTCATATCGTCTGAATCAGTGTCACCATCGCCAGCTAAGTCAGCATCAAAGATCGAATCCATATCTGCCTCTGATTCATTTTCATCATCATCCTCGTCTGTGTCACCACCATCATCAGGGTCTGAATCATCATCGGTTGCTCGCTTCCTTCCGACCTCATAGAGCCTTGCAGATGAGAACATCTCTTCATGATCATCCATGGCAATAACCCCAACAAAAGTGTCAGTAGGATCGGTGGCAAAGTCGAGGATGCAACGGTCAACTTGAACAGTACCAATGTCAGAGTAATTCGCAGCATCAATAGTGCGAAAGGCAGGGAATAGTGGGTGTCGGACACGGCGTGTGTTGATGGCTGAAGTAATCTCTTCTAGGTTGCGTCGCAAAATTGCATATATGACATCCCCACCTCCATTAAATGTAATCACAGTCTGATCCAACGAAGGCACTGTCCTCAAAAGCTTGAACTTTCGGAGATCCCACACCTCTGAATTTATAATGACCTGCACAAATAAAAAAAAAAGATGAAACCAAAGAACTTCATGCATGCTCCAGTGTACCAGTAAAACAACCTCTATATGTTCATGCCAATTCTTCTAAATATCAGAAACACTTTAACGAGGCTCTGAATCAAGCATTTGCATCAACAGCAGGGAGTGTGGAATCAGTTATAAAATACAAAAATAAATGAGCTTAAGTGTGATGCCATGCAGATTGCTTATGCACCACAATAAACAATTATACAAAAACTTCCATATACAAATTCTCTCAAAAACAACTTTATAACATTCAAACAAAGAGAACCAAGGATTTTGCCAGTTAAGAATCTGACACGATAGGCACAAAAGCATTCATAAAATAAAAAATTGCTGTTAGTTATGTAGAAGATGAAAAGGCAAAAGGACATATTTCAAGAATTTTGATTATGGAAAAACAGGAGTTATGAACACATTAATCAGAATTTTTTAGAGAGCTTATGAAACAAGAATATGGACATGAGATACCATAGCTACAATTGGGATATGCCAATACATCAATTTTTTTAAAAATAGAATACCAATACAACATAAATATGGAATGAGAAATATTTTAAATATATAATATTAAATATGACAAACTTAGTACTTGATTATAGTGTTAAAACATGTAGTAGCATATTATGATAAATAATAAGAATATGTAGCATCTACGAAATATGCATCATAAAGAAAACTTAGTAACATAGAACTCCCACAATATAGATAGAGCTTATCATAAATGAATTGATACCATTATTTAAATTTCATTAATCATAATATAATACTTAATACAAATGATATATGAACGACCACATTTAATCATTATACAGACCTGTCTGAAATAAAAAAATCAAAGAAAATGAAAATCATACAATTTATGTTATTTTAGTTATAATTTAAATGTAGGATATGTACTCCCGTGTACCCTCTTAATTCTTCACAGATCAGAGACTATCTTACACTCATTATTTACTAGATTGAGTCAGAAAGGCAATACTGATTCAAATTAGTTCCGATGCAAGGAAAAGACATTTCCTTGGTCATTGCCTTGCTAAATCACCTTCCCAATCTATTTACTCTTGCTCATCTCCCTCCCAAACTGGTGCCTACTGTGAACTTTGTCTAGCATCACTAGTAAATTTCTGGAATCAGATAGAAGACGAGGCGAATAAGATGAACAATAACGAAAAGCACCAAATAATAATACACATACACCAATCTACAAATTTACAAATTTCAGGAATAATTTGCACCTGAAAACAACTGTCATACATCTTTTGAGCTTGTAATTGTTATGAGACAATAACTAAAAGAACCACCAAATAATAACATATAGCATACCAATCTAGAAATTTACCACCTACATAAATAATATACACCTAAAAACAAATTTGTCATGTGCATCTCTTATGATTGTGTCACGACTCAAGCAACTGTTCATAATTTAACATGACCACAAATCCACACTTCTATCATATTTTCATATGGCAAAGATGATCAGTGCAAGAAAACATTCCAGTGTTTTTTTAACATGCTAAACTGCTTCACGCATGGCTTTAACGTATAACCACATCAAATGTATGAGAAAATAAATTAAAAGGTCAGTTCATACCTCATTTCCAGCAGGGTGAAACCCACCACCACCATAATCGGTGAACTGGTCAAACTGATGAATTGCATTTGAACTTCTCCTATCCCACAAAATTCCATTCCATAGCATCATCATGTCCACTGGGCTAAAATGTATGAGGGACTGTGCATGTCCCCGAAACATGCCTGAATGGTTGCTTGAGCTATCAGGAAGCCTCAACTCTACATTGTAAGTTTGTACATCATATAGAAGAACCTCTCGACGTGATGTGTCCGATGATAAGGCTGCAAAACTGGTACCTGAGTGGCTAAAACGAGCAGCCTTACACCCTTCAAATGAATGTAAGGGGCCACCTGAAATTGATGAAGCTTCCCACAGTTTTACATCATATAACGCTGAAGAAAGAACCAACTGAGTTCCACCAGATAGGGCTGATTGAACTAGTGTAACACAAGTCTGGTGGCAAGTCTGACTCTCCAACAAATTCCCACTGTTAGAATCAAATATTTTCAGCTCACCAGAATGACTTCCCGTTGCAATACGTGAAGATTCCCCGAGAAAAGTAATACATGTCAAAAGGGCAGCATCAGCACGGCAAGTGCGACAGGGCCTATATCTACTGTATATAAATTGGCGATCTCTACGATGAGCATGAATCCCACCATATTTTTTCCTGAACTCTCGGCTACTAACCCGTGCAGTTATATTTGCAGGTGCATTAAGACTACGGCTAGGTTCTGGACAGACATGTGGTTGCAAGAGAGAAAGTGGCGGCAAAGTGGTAATAGGTGCTGGGCACTGCCGATGTTGGTGCTTTAAATATTGTACAACCAATGAGTCAAGAGTCATCCGTTCAGTTTTTTCATACTGTGAGTTACCAGGCAGGCCAAGCTGAGCTACAGGTGTTGTTGGTGCTCCGGGAGTGACTTGACATTGAATATCATCTGAATGATCTATAGAAATGTTGCTGCATGATGTTTTACTCAATGCACCTCTTGGACTGTGATTTACAATGGGCAGCAACCCTTCTGCATCTGTTGTCACAAAATTCCTCCGACCAAAATATGGCGTCTGACATATTGGAGACTGGAAAGAGAAGTCTTCTGTTGAAAGGTGCTTAGCTGGTGATGCAGAAGAGGGTTCCTTCAATTCCAAAAACTTCCTTTTCATTGGTAAACAAATTGGTGTTTTAAATGTTACTTCTGTATCTGCAGTAGACTTGAAAACAGAGACCGATGGAGTTTCTGTTCCACCACATGGTGCAGCAGATTTTGTAACACTAAACGCTCTAAGGGTGGATGATGCATGTGATGAAAGCTGGCCTTTACCCTGGCAGAAATTGGGAGAGAATGCTAATTGTTTCCTTTTAAAAGAACTCAAAGCTAAATCAGACTTTGGACCAGCCTCTTGAGAAACTGTCTTTATAAAATCAGAGAGAAATCCACAAGATGCACGGCCAGATGGCCACTGGAGTTGCACAGATGATACTTCTTGCACATTTGTTTGGTGTAAAGGTGGTGTTGGTGCTCCTAATGATGGCATAAGTGTCAACTTAGCCTCCTTCTGTAGCAGGGTAGCAGTAGCTTTTAATCCAGATGCTACTAGATGTTCATGTATCAGCAGTAATAGCTCCCTGCACATCATGTAAGTTGAAGCTATATGAGAATAAAGGCATTACTCATGAAATCTTCAAATAAACTTTGCATGCCTAAAAGAAGTCAAAACCTGGAGTGGTAAGTTATAGGAGTTGCTGCAGCTATTGCTGCTCTCTCAATGCGTCTGAGTGTAGGAGCAGCAGCATCAGTGGCAGCCAAAGTGCTTGCACGCCCTGAATTTGTTACAATCTATATAGTATCCAAAGAAAAGCAAATCAAAATCATTATAACATAACAAAACTATGCAAGACAATAATAACACTCAGAAAATTGGAAAAGGGCAGATTAAGATAACCCACGGCTCATACAATTATTTAGAGGGTTGTAGGCTAACCCAGTTTCATCGCCATAGTAAATGGTGTTCACAAAATAAGAAGTAGCTGTCCAAATTTAACTAAAAGGTTTGTCATCTGTAACTTACAGCAATCAACTCAATGGAAACCTGGACCAACTCAGACTGCCACCTTGCTTGCTCAGTTCCAGATGCTTGGCTGCTCAAATCTCGGATGAGTTCTGAGAGCTTCTTACCAACCTGAAATGTAAAACTGAAGTTTGAGAATGCATCAAACAGATAATTCAAATACACGCATCCTGTACTTCACCATAAAACACAAAAGGAAAAAGAGCTCCAGAGGGAGAACATAATCAGATAATAGATATGTCAAGGAACTGCATTTCTATTCTAACAACTAGTGAATAAAACTCAAAGATTAGCCACATGGACAAACCTGCAGTCTTGTTAGTATGTGTGCAATTGCCTCATCTCTAGCTAGACCGAGCAGGACACGACATGCTAAAGCTCTGATGCAATCAAGAGCAGCAGGAGGCGTGATCATCCGGGGGTTCAGAAGATGCAAAAGAACCTTTATGCCATTGTTTGCTCGAACAGCCTCTCTCGCCTGACGATATCCTTGTTCCAACTGAGCAGCAAGGCCAGCACAGCCAGATCCAGATCCTAAAGATATTCTTCGATCTCCAACAACTCCTGCTGATATAGCAGGTGCAGGTGTACTTGAGCTACAGCCTGGAACTGCTGCATTACCCCTATCCACCAGGTTAGGTTCCATAATTCGCTCTCGAGGCTCATTCTGGATGGTAAATGTAACACCACTATCTGAGTTATTTCGTTCAGAATGCCTCTCTCTATTCTCTGAAGGACCATTCAATGTTTGAAGTGAAACAGGCTGCTGACCTTGTGCAGACACAGAGGGTTTGATGCTGATTGAAGGAGGTGGACATACAAGATTTACTAACACGTTCAATGCTGGATGAATCACCTGAAAGACAAAACACATAAGAGGGAGAATGCACATATGAAGTAGAACTTATTTCAAAACAAACAAGCACCATATTATGAAAACCACAAGGCATTCAAATCTCTAGTGAAGCAAATTTTACCTCAGGATCAACATAACCAGCACCATTAGCTGCATCAAGAATAACTGCCATACCCACTCGGTTGTTGCTCAAAGTAGCATTTATAATTAATTTACGGCTATCTTTTACAAAAGTGGCAATATGGAGAACCCCTAATGCATACTGGGCCAAATCATGAAGATAGCGTTCAACAGGTGGTGCCTGAAGAAACACACAGAACATCAAGTTTTGATCCATATAAACTGGGATTATTTCATGCTGGCAACAATACAAGCAAAGACGGAGTAGTTCTAATACCTGACACAGCTCCAACATTGTTATGTGGCCATTAGAGGCTAAGAATTTATCCACTAATGGCCAACGGGCTCTAACAAAAGCGGGCCCAAGCTTTCTGTCACGCTGTATTTGAATAAACACTGAATCCATAGCTTCATTGCTGATATCAAGTGGCTTATAGGAAGCCCTTGCACTTGAGGTACTTCGGGCTATTCCACGACTACTTTTATTTGGACGAAGAGAATCAACAAGCACAATAAGGTGGGCCCTAAAATACTGTCGCAAAGCAACACAGGTGTGATAGGCAATTTGCTTTTCTGATGCAGTCAGTACTTCAGCAGATGATCGATCATTTCTAGCAGGTACAATAGGTATACCCACCGTGCCAGAATTTCCACCTGATCTAACAGATGCAGCACCATGCAGAATATTTAACATTTTATGCAGGCCTTCTTGTACATCAAAAGAGTCCAGAATTGCTCTAAATACAAATGCAGCAGCAAAAAAGATAGCTGCATTTTTTCTAGCTTGATCTTGAGGGCACTCCAGAAGCTGAAGTGCTAACTCAACTATCTGTTGCACCACATTGGATGGCAGAGCACAAACCCGTTCCATGATAGCCTGAGAACATGGATCAGATTATGCATAAAGTAGTATTTAATCATTCAATTCTAAACTTAAAAAATCATTTAATAATAAATACAAGAACCAAAAATTGCTAGTTGAACATGCCAATATGCCATATTATCACCTGAAGGGAACCAATGGTAAACAAGCATGATGAAAGACCAAAAAAGGTATGCAAGACTCTACGGACAGAAAGAAGCTTCTGTATTCCACCACGATCAACAAACAAGGCAGAAAATTTCCGATGCGCAGCCAAGGCACATATCAGGTTGAGAACTTCAGCTAGCAATGCCAATTGATCAGGAGTCTCATCATCTTTGAAACTGCATTGCAAGAATGCAAGACAGACATCAACACCCTTTTCATGTAGAATGGGTCCCAGTGCTTCAACATATTCCCCCAAAATCCCAAGACATCGAATACTGTATTTCACTCTCAGCTTTGCAAGAGTCTCATTTTCCAATATGACAAAGATTTCTATCTCTTCATTACCTTTGTCTTCCAATGTCTTTAATTCGATAATATCCTTGCTTAGTTGGTTGGCATTCCTAAAATTGAGAAAATCCCACATTAGCATACAGAAATAAAAAGGTTCCATTTTTTCCTTTTTATTGAATGTGGAGAGGAGTGGTATACCGTGAGATCTCAGTTGCTATAGCAGCATCTACAACAGTAGACGCAGCTTCAGATGCAGCCGAAACCACAGCTTCTTCATCATTCTTGCTTTTCCAAGCCTAAAGTAGCAACTAAAATTTCAGCATTCTGGTACCATCAAACATAAAGAAAAGAAAAAAACAAAGTGGAATGAGTTTTATTTACCTCAGTAGCAGCAGTCTTGACAAGTTCAGCTGCAGCATCGCCTGCTGCTTTTATTGCCTCTTCAGGTGCATTAGCTGTTCTGGCTTCAGCTTCAGCTGCTCTTATTGCTTTCTTCACCATTTCAGATATGTCCTTTTTACCAATATTGCAATCCAATAAACGTTCATCATTATCCTTTCCAATAACGAGATCATCACAATAAAAAATGCTCAATTTATTGTCTGTATCAAGTACTTTTTCAATGTCTTCATGTTTAGCTAAGTTTCTTTCACCGAAAAGTTGACCACTTCCTCCTATGTATAATCCAGAAGATTGAGATGCAGCCCTAAGATTCTCCAAGGTACCTCCGCTAATGTTTCCTTTCGCTGTACTCCTTGGAAATCCATGGTTTAACCCTTGCTTTAATAGATCCACTCCCTTGCTGTCATCTAAATCATCATCTTGGCCTGATTTGCCAGCAATATCTCTTTCGCCATATTTTGACTTTCCATCTAGCAAATTCTTATTCTGCCATTGATCACCAATAAGATCAGGATATTCTGCTGCCATCTGGTTTGGGCCAACTAAATCAGATGAAGAGTCAGTTAGTTCAGATTTCAAAGAATCACCTCCATCTCCCCAGGTATCATCTCCACAAACTTGTCCGGTTCCATCATTCTTAACAGAACCTTTATCAGCAGTTGGGTCACCTGATAACCTTTGATCTCCAATCCTAGAACTTTCCAAATGAGCAACACCAGAAACCTGACATGATCTACCTCTTGTTTCATCTCTATCTTTGGTGGAACTAGAAGCTGAAGCACGCTTGGTCTCAACAAGAGAAGTAACATCTCTCTGACCAGAGCTGGAGTCGCCAAACATTTGTGTGCGCAAATAACGCATGAGCTTTGCTGACAAACCTGATGTCAACATATCTTCTACCACTTGGCTGCTGCTGAAATCATCGTCGACCTTTTAAAATAACATGCAATAGGAAAAGAAAAGAATCAAGAACATGCAAGAATGAGAATGGATTACCTAGGTAATGATAAAGCCAGAAGTCCAGTAGCATAAGTCCTCAACATTTCAGAATCTGTTGGCTTATCCTCTCCCAATTCGTGCTTCCAAATGGAATCATCATCATAAACTGGAGTATCCTCATTCACCCAGATTTTAATATTGTCCAGCACAGCATCATCGAAAACATGAGGATACTGGAAATACAATGTCATTCACATAAAACAGAATGTAAGCACATGCTTATGTATCCAATAAAAACAAATATCACAAGCAACATAGCTAGCTCACCATCCAACTCGAAGAGCAGCTAAGCAGCAACCTGGCAGCAGCTGCACGGATACTTGGAGGAAATCTACTTTCCGTTAGGAATTTGGACGATGTCAACTCATAAAATTCATCATTATCCTGACAAAATCACTATACATGTAGCCTTTGTGCTTCTTCCAGCAACACATGCAAAACAGATCTAGAGGAAATAAATAGCCACACTGTTATATAAAATACATACCCGCACTAAGTTACCAAGCTTTCCTATATTGTGAGATGTCCGAACATTGTTGAAAGGTGAATTTGCAGTTTCCTGAAGATATCTGAAACAAAGAGGAGGAAACAAGTCAAGCAATAATGAAGAGTAGGCACAAAAAACCAAAATGATCAAAGACAATAGTAAATTATGCACTAATTTATGTCATTTTTTATCAAGATGGAGGTCTTACCAATTGAATTTAACATAAAAAAGGAAGATTCTTTTTTTTTTTAAATCTAAAATGTTATCTTTTTTTAAAAACAAAATAATAAATTATTATTTTAAATCAATGTCATAGTATTTTTTCCTTATTTTTTGTATTTTCCTTTTATTCTTGTACTTGGGTAGTATATAAAAGAAAAAAATGGCATTATAATCAAGGTTTGCTGTACTATAACATACCGCTCGATATGGGTGTGATATGTATCAGTCCAATAAGGGACCGATAAGGGTGGTACATATTGGTTTGTCGGTATGCCCCACTATACTATGTGTCAGTACATCAGTATGTTTCGATACATACCGTATTGATTGCCAGTCAGTACATCGGTATAGACCGATAAAGCGAATCATGATTACAATTAGAATATATTAAAATTAAAGAATTGATGTAAACAAGTACATTTTCCTACAATTGTTTGTTAGTGGTTTAAAGGTACATTTATATTTTATGATGGTATAAATCCGAAGGTACTTGTGGAAATGCAAGACTTCCATTCTCAAGGTTTCATACTCCCAATTTTTCTATTATATTTTTAAATGAATATATCAATAAATAAATAAAAGTATATTACCCTGCATATGTGTGAGTAATTCATGGCCTTATTTATTTTTCCAATAATATGAATCCAATGTTCACCAATGAGACACTTGAAAGATGTGAAGCCTTAATCCTAGGAATTTCCCTTTAAGCCAAGGCATGTTTGATAATTATCTTTTTTTCTATTTTCATGTATATACATATATATACTTTATTTGTTCACTCGAACTCGTCCTACATCAAATTTGATATCAGAAGTTTTGATTTAGCCAAGATATTACATCACTTTGATCAAAATCAATTATATTTCAGTTATATAGATTAGGAATGAGTTCCTACGCAATAAAAATAAATGATGCAGGATCATTTTAATTATTTCTTATTTAAATAATTTTTATATTAGTTTCAGATTGTTTTTGCAAATTCTTCCATAAGTAATTACAGGATAACATCTACTACAAACCTATACTAGTTACCAATATTGTCCAAGAATACCACAATCCTATATCAGTTAACAAGATTGCCCTAAAGAAGGAAAAAAAAAAGGTAAAACAAATGGAAGGAGACAATCATAGGTTTGATTAAAATTCTTAAAGAAAAAGGAGATAAGCCTTAAATTTGATTGAAAATTTTATACCATAAGGAACTTTTTTCATTTGATGAAGATGGAAGTATATAAATCAATCAAGAACATGATTAAAAGAAAAGATTGTTTGCAAATCAAATATCGAATGTTTCTTCTTCAAAGAAGGAATAATAGATTGATTTAGCTAGATGTAATTGCATTTTTTTCTTGTTTTTTGAATTTTTCTGTTCTTCATTATACTTGGGATAATAGATAGATCTGAGAAAAAGAATGAGATGCATTAATCAACAAGGAATTAGTTCTTTTCTCACATTAATATGAGAGTAATATCTTTTCTCTGATGGTATGAGACCATCCTTCATGTTTGACACATGCGTAGGTGAAGGTGCTCATCTTGGTGGTTCTTCCTTGATTTTGAGTGAGTCTGATAATTATCTCTTTTTTATTATCTTTTCTTATTATTATCCTTTCCTTCCTCTATCAAACTCATCCTACATTAACATAACCCTCCACTCTAGTGTAAATGAGTTTCTTCTTGCTGTTATTTCAGAACAATCTACTAAGCTAGAAGATTAATCATAACGGCATTCATTAAAAGCTACTACAGTTACATCATACCGAATCCTGCTGGTTTTCAGAAAATCCTTCATCCAAGACAACAGGCCTTATCTAACAAGATGGACTTCAGTGCCAATCAGGATACAGTAGCTACAAAGGATCCAAAGTAGAAACCAGAAAAATTATAATAAGATAATTACCATAGGTATTAAAATATGTAGAGAAACTATGGATAGAATACTATAACCAAACACTTCTGCCCAAGATTTTAACTACTATCGTTGGTATTCATAGTTTCATACCATAATCAGAACTTATCAGACTAAGCATTCATTGATTAATAGAACTTGTTATGTCTTAGCATACCAATAAGAAAATTACTAAAAAAAATTGATCTGTCATTACCAATCAGTATAGTCAGTATATTGGTATGACATCAGACCAATATGGACGGTCTGGTTGGCATACTGTCATATTTTAAACTGTGCTTTAAACCATTTATTTTTATGTACATATGCATGCATGCATGCATGTATATACATTTTTCCTTTTCCAAATCATCACAATTTCTTCCATATTGAATGCTACTCGAAAATGGGACTGCTTAGGTGGACTACACTGGATAAATTATGTTCTTTCTCTTTACAATCATATGTTTCATTCAGTATACCTGAATTTGCATTTATGATAAAAGTGGTTCCCTCTTCAATTGATTACAAGCAGATATGAACCCTCAAAATCAGATTCTAACTTATTCAATAATTATTTTGTGTATCGTTTGCTAGTTGATAATAAACAATGTCCATGGTTGTAATACCACTATGAATTACGCCATGCACGTACTTAATTTCCTTCTAGCTCTGAGAAAAATACTAATTTGGTTTCCTAACTCCTTCAGGAGAAGTCTAAAGTTGAGAGGGAAACTGTTTCTTCGTAACCATGACTGGGCAAACAGTATGTTTCCTACATTTTCGATGGCATGTTTCCTTTGCTTTGTGTTGTTTTTTCTTTGATAACCCTCCTAGTCAGTGATGTAATGCATGCTTAACAATTATTACAGCCTATATCTCATGCCAACATGCTCGGAAGGCTTTAGCCGGAGAGTGACATTGGTTCAATGGCAATCAGGAATGAAACTACAGAGAGTGACTAGTAAAAGGATGGAAAATCATAGTAGTTCTTGGAAGAAGAAATCAACTTACTGAGTAAAAGCATTAACAAATTATAAATTATCAAGCTGAACCAAGCTCTTTTTTTTTTAATAACTTGATCAAATACATGACCAGAGACATATTGAGGCTATTCGTGACCTCTATATTTGTGCATCAAATGCACAAAGTAGAGTGAAGTTACATCACATCGATTTCATAACAATCTACAAAGGTTATACCCATCTATCCTGAATATCAAGAAGATACAAGTAGGCTTAAACAACTGGACACTTTTGGCGTTCATGAGAATTTAACTAATGATTACAAGAGGACCAAGGAATGTCATTGGAAAATTCATATTCTGCATAATATAAAATATATCAAGGTTGTCACAGCAATATGTATGTACTTCTTCATGGCTCAAGAAGAAGAAGAATGGTACATGTGCATAAGCTTCACCTAGAGGAAAAATGCTGACAACTAGCTTTCCAAACATGTATTGTTCCCTTACATCATAGATCTTCTTCATAGTATTTATCCATGACAATATGTCATAGTCCAGGGCTGCCATACCAATCTTCGAAAGTTCACATGTATCAAATCATTTTGGCAGATGCACAGGGCAATTTTTGGCTTATGCCAGGTGCAACCAGAAAGTACAGTATGTACCTGTACCACAAAAAGGAGATCCTTGGTCATAAGCAATAAATTATCACAATTTTATATAGTTAAGCTATACAACTCCAAAAGCATCTCACAAAGAACCTCTCTCATATCTGTTTCACATATCCTTATGATAATACTTCCAGCAGACCTAGAATTGACCACAACCACATTGGTATCAGAAGTAGGCTAGAAGAGGCAGCATCAGCCATGGCATGGCTAACCTCATTTGGGACTCGTGAACAATAAGAGTTGGCTGCGTCTGCTTTAGGCTTGGTCAGCCCTGCTATAAGCCTTAGCGACCATGTATGCTGCCTACATATGTAAGATGAATATTTAAATGAGTTTGGACTTGTTTACTAGTCAAAACATGTGCCAAACTCAAGGAGATTCTAATATTCGCCAACTAAGACTAGCAAGAATTTGACCAATTACAATAGTCTGATAAGCCCAGAAAACTCTATTCTAAAGCCCCAATTGATCCAAGAAATGTTGGTCAGAGGAGAGCTGAAAATCTGCTTAAGGTGAAAGTTTCCTATCTCAAATAATGTTGGATAGCCCCTAATCTTACGCAAGTCAAAGGTCCGGTTTGGGGGTTCAATACTTCAATCACAACAAGAATGAGAGAAGTGGAAAAATGAGGCTACTTTAATCAAGTTCAGAGAATAATGCAAATATAGAGCATCATGAGCCTCTTGAGCATGATTTTTGAGATTTGCTTTACTTCATTTCAGCATTGACATGAGCTATATTCCTTTGGTTCAGTTCCTTTAGTTTAGACTGGGAGGCCTTTCCTCCATCTTGAATCAAAGGAGACATTGATAGGTGGCCCTACATCTTATTTTGTAACATCTACTTTGAGATGCTTCAATTTGAATCCATGAACCAAGGAACATTAACTTTCAGTTCAGTTTTTTTTTGTGGGGGGGCGGGGAGGAACTGACCTATATATATGATGTCATCTTCTCGATCCTTTAAGAAACCTTAAACTTTCAATTCATTACCTCCCGAGATTCTCACAATTGTAGATCATCCTAGCACCAACAGGCAATGACCATTGGAGAATATATTCATCACTTAAATGGGATGCAAATTAAAGGTGATTCAAAGTATCCAACAACAGCTTCATTTGTGACGTTCTACCTAGCTTACTTCAACCCATAAAACTTGTGACAACAAATTGAATTATTTTCTATCAAACTAATTTCCTTGTATTAAAGAAAATTTCATTAAACGTGCTTGAAATGTGGGAAGACATATTTCCAAAGCTTCTTGGTCCTAAAGACGAGCACATAAATACGGGTAACATTCTCCAAGTTTCACTCTTCAAACTTCACAGGGCATCGTATTCAATATATATGGATCGATTCAAACTTGAGTGTTCAAGAGATAAAATATTTTTCCACAATGATCAGAACACGAATCTGCTTATTTAATTTCTCACGATAAGAGGGTGTTTCTGACATGTGTCATTGGCCACCCAAAACGGCCATTTTCCAGATAAAGCAAAATGGTGGTTTCCAGCGTCTTTTCGGCCATGCAGAAATTGTCCCGTTCATCAAAGTTAAGTAAACTTACTTAACAATGCAAGGGAAAGCAGAAAACACGGACTCTGATTTGGCCTGATGGGAGAAAACGGAAGGAGAAGAAGCCAAGCAAAATAAAGAAAACACAAGAAACCCTAAACCAACACCAGGCTCCCAATTACGAAATCGATGAGAAGGGAAGGTACCTGGATTCTTGAGCCTCTAGTATCGTGGCCAACGCGTGGAGGTGCCTGGGGTTCGGGTTCGCCTGGGTCTCGACGATCTTCGAGATCAGCCGCTGCGCCCGCTCAAGGATCGCCTCGTGCTCCTCGCCCTCCGCCTTCGCCTCCTCCCCCGACGGCCCCGCCGCCGCCTCCCTCGCTCTCTCGGGCTGCATCGACACGATTCCCCTTCCTAACGCCGAATGCGAGAGATTGCAAGAGGCGGCGACGAATCGAGCACGCGAAAGAGAAATGATACAGTAAAAACAAGAGCGAGACGAGGAACGGGAAGGAACAGGACGGGAAGAACTGAGTGGGGCTTTTGGTGCTGGGCTTATAAAATACAAAACCTAGGTAATAAACCGAACCGATTCAGCTCGAAGGGTGTGACAACCGCAACGGCGGCCTGAGATTTCGTATCCAATCGACACGTTTCACATCGGAAGGTGGATATCGAATTGGGAAGATGATTGGACCGGACCACGGTTCGGTCCGGGTCAAGTTCAAGTCCATATACAAATTAATTAAAAGAAAAAAGGAAAGGTGCGCGGCGAAGTCGAATAGAGTCGCTTCGGTACGTCGGATGCCGTATAAATACGATCAAGTAACGGGTAGCAAATAAAATAAAAATGAATCCGATACGACCCGATCCGATCTGAGGGGCATGCCTCAAAAGACCGACCAAGGCCTAAATCGAGTTAGGATGTCAATTAATTAGATTCGGATCAAGTACAGTGATTATGAAATGTTCATGAGTAATTGATTAGTCGGAAGGATTAAGTTATCTATGTACAAGTAGGAATAAATAAATAAAAATACTAAATAGTTAATCGAGTTCAGAAAGTATATTAAAATAACGTTTATGAGCCTGATGAAGGTTCCTAATTAGTGACGGCTAATATATAAAATAAGGCTAGCTATGTTTATTAGCTATCATAAACTTTGAACGACCAGTAAAACAAAGCTACAAGCCAAAGGTGATTTCCACTCGAACTTAGTTGACTTAACCATCCGCTCGAACATAAGCACACATTAAAAAGTATAGTTTAGATTAACCCAAGGAAATTTATAGTCTATTATTAAACGGTGAAAAATTTGACTCTTCCCAGTGAATTAGATGGTAAAAATAGTCAAACAGTTTGTATACAATCGAATGGTTAACGGAAATGAAACCCAAGTCTGATATCCTCGTCTCTATCACATGCGATCACCCATAAGCCTCTACGGCGCCGCCGCTTCAGGCCAAGTACGGCCGCACGTCCGCAGTCGCCTGGCAGTGCCACGGGCGCACTATAACGTTCTGCTCGCCTGGAATTCTTGCCTGCAGCGTACGGTACTTCGCCATCGTCGCTCATGCAAAGTCGTAAGCTTCGCCATGCAGCAGCAGCCTGGCCACTCTTGTCCTTCTCGAGATGGCCCATTTCCGCTTTCGACTGCAGCTCACGAGCTTGTTGCAGAGTTGATCGACTGCAGCATCTTAATCATTTCTCTCAAAGAGAGCTTTTCTTCGGTTGGTGTTTCAGCTGATCATCATTAGAGTGTGTAAACCACAACAACTTTGACAAGTAGTGCTTGCAAGGGACATATGATCATACTGTCAAACCGACTGAATTAAAGTAATGAGAAAGAGAAGCTGGCATTGGTCGATCGGAAAGTCATCAGTGATGGAAAGAAAACTAACCAGAAGATATCTATCCTTATCCTGTTGGCCCAAGATCTTGGAAGCATCATTTAAGTGAGATTTCTCTCATTGCAAACCACTGCTTGTTCTATAGACAGCCAGCAATTGTTTCTAGTGACAAACAGATACAAAGAATACCATCATTCTGTACAGTTTACTTTTGGGAGTGGCGAGTCATTTGAATTGACTACCTGATCAATTGGACCGCAATAAACTATTGGCTATATGGAAGTACAGTTTAATTTCATCCAATGTCAAGAAACAAAAAAATCCTTCTTTTGAGATAAATGTATCTCTTACAACCAGAAAGTGAGAAGACATTAAGAAAGTATTGTATGAAACTGATATGAGAGAGTTCATCAAGTAAAGGCTCATTTGGATGCACTGATGATTTGCTTAAAACAGTAAGCAGAAAAATGCATGGAAGAACAAGATTGATTACAACTGGGAAGCAAAGGAGGACATGCAACAAGAAATAAAGATAAAGAAAATATGGAAATCGGCAGCTTCAACAAGACTAGGTTTCATTTAATGTGGTAGCAAGAACGGAATTTGCAAGAGATTAAACAAACCTACAAGAGAAAGAACTATATATGATGATGTTTGGAAGGCCTTTCATGATTCTTGTAGGTTGACCTTCAACTTGCAATATACATCAGAAATCTTTCTTCTAATTTCCTAAAATATGGAGCAAACAATTTTTTTCTGAATTAGTTAGAAGAAACAAGTTGTGGTTGGTGATAAACATTATGCAGGCCAAGAAAATTTCTTGAGAACACTTCAGTGTTGTATGATTAAACTACAAATTGATAATATTTTGCACACAGATGAATTGCAAGAACTATATTATGCAAAACCAAAAACACTGAGTCGAGCGTTTGGTGTAGTACAACAGAAATGTAATAATTTGAATATTATTAATGGTACAGCAGAAATGTGAACTTTAAATCAGTTGTGCTGATATCTTAGTACATGTAGAAAATTCAGATTTGCTGCAAATCATATGACTCTTTATATATCTTAGCCACCAACATATTGTTGCCAATATACCAATAGCATTATTATTTTCTCAAAGGAGCTGCAAAGTCAGAATCATGATCTATCAAACATTGCAAGGAAATGATCTCCTTGGTCTTCAACGCCTGCATCATAGTTCACTGGAACAATTGGCATATTTGAAGAAGAAGACGACTCGTTCAACTGCGATAAGAGCAACTTGTCCAGGACTTTCCAATCGACGAATTCGCCATGGCAGCTACTGTCCCCAGTTCCATGCTCATTGCTGCCCATACAATTACCTTCAAAGTGTTCATTATTGGAGAAACCTGAAGATAAACTCGGGCTATCTAATTGTGGGATGTGAAGAACCTGATCTAGGAGGTTCTTCCTAGATTCAAGTTCTATCTCATAACCTAAACTTCTTTCATATGGAGCTCCTCCCTGAAAAGAATCCATGAAGCATGTAGGCTTGGCAGCAAGCCGACCATAGTGATTGTGTCCGAAATTGTTGTAGCAAGGCCTTTGATTGAGATTTGGTTTCTTGAACGCTCTACACACAACCCATCCTTCTTCCTGCGGTTTACATTTACCCGTCAAAGTTAGCAAGAAATGTTATTATCCGTAAATAATCATTTCATCTCAAAATGGATGAATAGATGAAGAAAACCTAGTTTTCTCATCATGGCAGTTGCATAAGCATAGGCAAATCGTATTCTGGATCTGCACTGCGTCGACACGGTAAATCTACCTGAGCAGGTTCATTTTCGTTTGATTGAAGACGGTATTCATGCATGATCCAATCAGTTCGCTGGCCATTTGGAGCTCGTCCCTTGTAGAAAACAAGAGTCTTCCTCATCCCTATAATTCGAGACTTGGACAACACCGGCTTGTCTCGCCCTGTCGCCTTCCAGAAACCGGCTGCGGTAGCTCTATTGGTGCGAGTTCCGCTTGGATACTTCCTGTCTTTGAAGCTGAAGAAGTACCACTCGCTTTGCTCTTCACACCCATGTCTGCATCTATCTGTCGAAGCAAAGGAAAAAAGAAGAATCTGCAATCATATACACAGGTGAACTGTGAGAGTTCCTCACTGCTAAGTTTTCTGAAGGCTACAGACCTTGAAGCTCCCACGGCTCTATTCGATAGAGATCGACTTCTTGGATGACCTCCAAATCGATCCTTTGAGAAGCCACCTTCCTTGCAAGGTAATAGCCCACAAGCTCTTCTTCCGTGGGATGGAATCTGAAACCAGGTGGAACACAACTCTTCTCCATTGTGGATTCACCTGGAGACCTCGCACCAAGTTAAGATGGATGAAGAGGTGATGAGCGGGCCCTACAAGATTTAGACCCTCATCAAAGAGATCCCCAAAATCTAGAAAGCAAATAGGAGGAATTGATTGGAAAATGACCTGGTACACCATCAGTGCAAGAAGGTAATGCTATTTACATAATATCCCATTCTAAATCTTTTATATAATTAAGAACATCCCATACTTGGAATTCAACAAGCGTATGGAATATATTTCGAAGTTCTAGATCTGATCATCTTAGTGAGTATTAACATAGAAAGCAGATGGAAAAATTGACTATAAATTTCAATCATGCCTATGTTTCTTTGAGTGCACGCCAATGATGTGGCTGCTTTCAGTTTCAGTGACCACCACACCTCGAATTCCCAAGGCTGCAAGAGAGAAGCATATACCTACAATAGCTATGGTTTCCACATGCTCTCAGTGGAGGAGGAGAAAGACGGTACGACCACAGTAAGCTCTGCGGAACAGCGTAATTTACTCTGAGATGTTGAGGAACTCACCGGCAGCCAGGCTTCTTCGCGTGCAGAAGGAGAAAGAGAGAAAGTGAGAGACAGAAAATGCTAGTTTAGAGGCTGTCCAGGCTTATATACAAAGTTCAGAAGGAGATGGAAGGACAAAGAATAAAAAGGAGGAATGTAAAGAAAGGAAGAGACGGGGGGTTAGCAGCCATCGAGTGCGCGTGCAGTGATCAAACAGGAACGGGAAAGGAGAGAAGGAGAGGGTGGCCTGAGGGCGATTTGGGCGGTGGGGGCAACAGCAAGAAAGAAATCTTAAGCCACCGCCACCTCTCTCATGCACACCAACAGCCCCCCTTTGCGCCGTTATTTTATGCTGCAAGGCTACTTGGTCTGGAAGTCAAGATGTGGAGGCAGCCAAAGGAAGGACCACCCTATGGCACTTGTTGCTTTATGTGCACTGGGAATGTGCCTTGCATCGTACACTCAATCATTCGTGTCCACAGTCCAGTTCCAGGCCAAGATTAGCTTCAGGACAAGGATCATTAATTGAAGCTTGCACAAACAAAGAACACTTGGCTTTTCGCATGATGCATGCTATCTAAGTCTGGAGGGGAAGGGATAACAGAAGTTCCATGACTTGGAACATAATTAATGCACCAAGATAGGACCATGCGTTGATTATATATATGTATGATGTATGCATATATACATAAAATATCATGACCTTTTCCTTTCGAGGGGAGTGTGTCTCTCTAGTTGAACCATGGACTCACCATACGTTCAATAGTCTATTGAGTACTGTAGTGACTGTAGCTACAAGGAGGATGTGCTGCTGTCAATTTTACAGGTATGTATAACAGTCTGTAGATATGTGTGTATACTGTTAATTAGTATGCAGTTCGATTCTAATGGCAGAACTCAGATTACCAAGGGAAGTCAGAGTCCACAACAAAATCCAAGACTGGAGAATGGCAAGCTTCTTCTGAAATGGAGAAGTACTGTAAGGTTCTGAAAAGATGGAAAACCTTCCCTTTCCTCTTAGTTTGCCGGTGACATGGCTACATCAGTCATCCATCTCTTTCCCTTTGGGGCTTCCAATCTTTGATGATTTTAAAGTAAAACGGGTGGGTGAACTCAGTCTCCGTCAGGCTCCTGAAGCGCCCCTGCAGTCATTCAACTGCAGAAAGAGAGGAACAAGTAACTACACACTTTCTTCCCAATCCCACCAAGTTTTCGGCCAGCTGATGAACACAGGGGCTTATCTCTATCTATGGGAAGAAGAAGAAGCTTTTTCTTGCTCATATATCTTCTCTGTCTTCTCCAAAATCTTTCTTTTTATTTCGTACTTCCGTTCCAGAAAAAAAGAAGCAGCAGCAATAGCTACTAGATTAAACAAGAGGTAGCATCCTCGATGAAGCGTGACAGAAGAGCCTTCTGAACGATCCAGCCTTGTAGAACACGTTTGCATGTTGTTCGATCTCCTGCCTCGCCGCCAGTTAGCTTGCCGAACACATCAAAACAGTGGCGTGTTGACGAGGATCGGTTGATCGTCTTGTCTATTGAAATGACAATGATACACCTCCAACAAAAGCAGAACTATATATTTAGCGAAAAACTAATCGGTTGCACTGATATTTTGTTGTGGATGATGGTTGGATTTGTTCTGAGTTTCGTGCAGATGTGAATCGCAAAGCACTTCCGGCGACCTCTATGTTGGGTCCCACTACTAGGAGGTCCGTGAAGCCAGGAGGCAGCCACGTCACGGTCTCGGACAAAGCTAGTGAGCGCGCCACAGCATCGTTATTGCTACTCTTCTGACGCTTACCAGTTTAACTACGGTCTCGGACAAAGCCGGCATCCTTTCTCTTCCTTTCGGGTGGATGTGCGGGTACTTGGAATAAGGGTACGTTTACGTTTTTGGAACTCGTTGAACGGCCGACGGCTTGATCGGATAAAACGACGAAGCCCTCCGCTGATTGATCGCGGGGTTTCTGGCGTCTCCATGTCGCCGGCATCCATGGCGTCCGCAGCCTGCGTGGACGAGATCTCCGCCGCTGGGCTGTTCCTTCGCGCCGTTGCGATGGTGCCAGCCGCCCACTACCTCGCGGCCTCCCTCCTTGTCCTCCTCAGCCTCTTCTACAACTTATTCGAGTTCCATTTCTTGAGAGACCTCCTCCATGGGTTCAGGGGGGATCCGGTGGTCCTCACCTTCAATCCGGCTTCCAAGATTTACGAGGGAGTCGTCTCCAAGTGCCGGATCTTTCATCGGAGGTGAATCTTGCTGCTGATTGGTTCTTTTCGACTGGTCTTTAGTAATGCTCGATGGTAATCATAGGGTTTGATGATGATTGGTGGTGGCCTTTATAGGTATTTGCCCACGCCGTGGCTCGCGAGCCCCCATCTGCAGACTGCCTTCCTGCATTTCTTCGGGAGGCCTCCGTGCGTCACGTATCGAAGGTTGGTAGTAGGTTTTGCATAAGATTTGGGTCCTACTTCTTTATTATGAGGTTTTTGCCTGCTATTTGCTTTTGATTCATATATGAAACTGGACTCCTAAAATGAGAGGAGGTTTTTCCCCCCCAAGACACCATGTCAAATTCTTTGATTCTGTTCCTGGTTGCATCTTCTACACAGTCTCCGACTCTAATTTCATAAATTTGTTAACAGTTGACCCTTTAGGCACCTGATGTCACCTCTAGTTTATGTGCTTGCTATCTCTTTGGTCTGCTCTACTTGTGAAAGTTTATAGAGGTCTATTTATCAAGTATAGCAGCTTTTTTGTTTCTTGATTCCTTGATGCGCAATTTTTTTTTGTATTTTGTTAATTAATGATGAGTGGGATCCCAAGATTTTCATTTTCCGAAAGAACTTCAATAAGGAACAATGGTCAAGCTTCCTATTTATACCTCTCGATTGATGCTTAGTGATCATGCTATATTGAAATCTATCCTCTTTCTCTTATATTCAGGTGCTTCTTTCAACAAGACTTAATTTCCTAAATAGATTGCTGTTTATGTTCCTTGTGAAGGATTTTCTTCACTGTTATTAGTTATAAATGCTCATTCTTTTTGTATGCTGAACTACCGTACTCACTATTCAGGCAATTATTCTCTGTGCGTGATGGAGGAACCATTGCTTTGGATTGGTTGCTTGCATCTGATGGTAAGCTTGAAATATTTCAGAATGGATACAAGTCAGAGTGTTGCACGCTTGCACTTTGGTGTTTGTTGGCTCTTTTGGGCCTATAGGCATGATGCTTTTGCATAGCTTCAAAAAAATTAATAGAATTTGATTTAGACTTCAAAGACCATTGTCTACTAATACTGATCAGCGAGATGTGTAACTTTTCTGTGATCTGTTTATGGAAGTGGTCCTGATGGGTTTTGAGGTTTCTCTTTCATAGATATGGTGAGAAATAGAGCCTGTTGACTATGTGGCAGCAGCCAATTGCTGCCTTTATACATGCTTACTTTTTTCATAAATCTTTTTGAAAGTTGAAATTATTAATAGAATAGTTATACACTATGAACAATCAGCTGTAGTACATGCTTGCTCATCAAATTTAGCTACGGATGCTGTTTTTTCACTTTGCCATGACATATCCGAAATACATTACTTTTGGTGGATTCTCCCCAATGGTAGCTTTTAAATATTACTTGATGATCCTAATAAACAAGACCTGTATTTGTGGATTTTATGTGGTCTGATTTTGTTTTTGATAGTGCTATAAACCATAACATGCTATTTATAAATCTTTTTGTTGATAATCTAGTTAGCTTTCACCTTTTCTCCTCAGATCTGCACAATTTTGGGGATTGCTGCCTATCAGTCTAATTATTCCTTCTGCCACTACCAAGTATGATGTTCTAACATCTTAGAAAGATGATAATAATAATGAAAACAAGAAAGATGATTGGTTGCCAATTGAGTCTTGGCTGTTACTACCATTTTCAAAATAGGATGCGATGCCACACTTCTGGTTTCCATATAAATTCACAAACGTTTGTAGACTTGCCTAGTTCTGTCATTACCTTATCTTGATTATGATAATCTTATGTTCTTAATGATCATATTTTATGGATTTAATGTTTCAGTTGACAGAGTTGATTTTTTATGTCAATATTTTCTTTATGATTTTCTGATTTCATTGATGAAACTAAGTAGCTAACATAACAATACGAAGGAAGGAATTAACCAATTTCCTTTATTTTTTATTGATGGTTTATCTGGATAAAATTCATATGCCTTATTCTGTGAATTGTTTTTACAGTTGCAGGAGGTTATTCTAACATGGACAAGGTCATATCTAAAGATGATACTGCTCCTCTTGTTATTGTGATCCCTGGTCTAACAAGCGATTCTGCTTCTCCTGTATGTTTATTATTCGCTCATTGTCATATACAGCTTCTGAAGCTGTTGTGCAGCATCTAGAAAATGCAAACATGAGGTTTAGAAATTTAGAGTTATTGTAAATTCTCTTATTGACTGTTGATGGAAAAACTAGCATACTTAATTTTGTCACTTCAAAAAACATTTTGAGGATTAATTCAATGGTAAATTTATTGAGATTTCTTGATGGCCTTAATGCATTGTTGAAAAACCTCAAGATTCAAGAATGCATAAAAATCTTTAGGCAGTACGTTTTTTTTTTTGCTAACCTGGAGAATCTGAATGGTCATTTCTGCTGCCTAGTGGAATCTTTATAAAATCTATTTACTTAAGTTTTATGATGTCAAGGATAATGGAGTCCAGGTACTTTGTCATTAATTTGCAATGTCATTTTTTTTCTGGAACTCAAGATAACCATGAGAAACAATTCACATTGTATATATTGTGCTTTGGTCCATAATCACTAGAAGTCCTGTGGATGATCATCATGATCTAAAACATAAATGAACTGTGTTCACCAGTAATTGTGAATAGTTGCACTGGGGGATTACATCATATATATTGGTTACCTGTTTCTATTTGTCTGAACACTCACCTGCTGTATATCTGTGTGAACTTGAGGTGGGATGGGAAAGGTGACAACAATTATATTGTCTAGTGTTCATGCGTCAAGAAGGTTAGTAATCGAAGCAATTTCTGTATAATGTTCATGAGGACATTGTTGTTGTATTGAGTGTAATTGTACTGAATTTCCTTTGGCCATCTGGAAATTTCAATTATTCATAATCCAAACTGAAGACCTATTGATTGTTATTTTGATATTTCAAAAAGTATCTGATGTTGGTACTGTCAATTTGAACCCTGCAGTACGTAAAGCACTTGACATATGTGATGGCAAAACAGGGGTGGAATGTTGTTGTGAGCAATCATCGTGGCTTGGCTGGCATCTCCATCACTGTATGATTTTTGTTTCCATATTTCAGTATTTGTTTCACTGAAAAGTGATTATATTCCTTTCCCCCCCCAAGTCAATCCTAGTATAATGTGGCAACAAATATGATAATTACTAGTTTCAAGGATTGTGTCATGGGAGTCTTTTTTTTCCCTAATCAAACAACTAATTTTTTTTCTTCTGGCTAATCTCTAATTATATAATTTCCAGAACATCACAGCATGGAAATATCATCCCTTTGAGTAATATTAAACCTTAATGACATCAAAGTCCACGTCTTATATGAGTTGTTCTATGTAAGCATTTTTCCAGGATAAGACAAGGTTTGAATGAGTTACTTATATGCATCACTTCCAGGCACTGGTCTCATCCAATATTAGTGGTAAGGACCTATAGATTTTGATCTTTTGTTTTCCAGTTTCATCTTTTGGATTAGTCCAACTTAGAATTGAACTGTTATGATATTATGTGAATGCATCATGCCTCATTGGTATGGTGAGCTATACCTAGACTCTAGCATTATCCATGGAATATATTCATCGTTTGTTATATTCTGTAGCTATTCACCATAGGATTATGTTCTAGATACCACACATGAAAGAACACACATGCAAACTACATACGCACACACAAAGGCCATATCTGTCATCTTTCCCTGGGGAAAGACAACTTACTAGAACAATGTGAATATGCATTGTTTAATTTGTGTCTCAAAATTACAACATCTATTTAGGACAATTGCGATTGTGGCATTATTTGAGGTTTTATTGCTACTTTTACAGTCTGATTGCTTCTATAATGCTGGATGGACTGAAGATGTTCGGGAAGTCATCAATCACCTTCATCAGGAATATCCAAAAGCTCATATCTTTGCTGTTGGAACGAGTGTTGGTGCTAATATTCTGGTCTGCATACAAGAGCTCTTTGTTTAATGCTGTATGAGCTTCTTTTGTGCATGTGAAACATACTGCATGTGGTGCAAGAGATATGACAAGGTTTTATGCAGGTTATCTACTTTGGACTAATTTCTGTGCAAGTTGCCTAATGATACATGAATTTAGCTCATGTTGCAAAATATGGGCTAGCATCTTCCAGCATTGCCTTTCAAGGCAGTGTTGGATTTGCAGTTGTTTGGAGGGCCATACTGAAATGTTACTACCTTTGCAAGTATATATATTGTTTTAAATAAATGACTAGGATTTCTTACCTAATTATTGATTATTATACTTACAGCTATACAATAGAAGAAATAAAAATAACTACTTTGTGCTTTAACTATTTTATGAGTTCTAAGTTCTACTTGTCCTAAAATTTTCTTGGCAGTATCTAAATATTTGTTGAAGTAGCTTATTAGGCCTAAATCTAAAAAGAAAATCATACCTTTAACTCTCTTGGCCAGTATGCCCTTCTTTCAATCGAATAACTATCGTCTGAGATCATATGAAAATTACAAGTTCTTGTATGGTCAAAAACAAAGACATACAAGATTTCCTATTACAAAATATTAGATCTTCAAGGCTACTATTTTTATTTATCTTTTTTAAAGAAATTGATTCCGCTAAGTCCTCATTTACATACCTTTGTGTCTCTTAGTACGGTTGATATATGTCAATAAGAATAATATAATTTTAAAACTTTAATGGGGCCTGGCTGCTTCTAGTCTCCACTAATATCCACCTGTGCTTCAATGGGCCAACTTCTAAGTTCTGAATTGATTATCAGGAGCATGAATTGATCAATGCAGCTGTGGATTATATGAGTTGGCTTATATCTTGGTACTTGTAATATTTTATACTCCATGCTTTTCATTAAGAATTCAATTTATCTCAGTTGATGATGCAATAGAAAGTAGGCATTTTGCTATATGCTTTTCCAATAGCTTATTTTCTATGGTTTAATGCAGTTATGCAACATTTTTAGAAGTACCTCATATATCCAAGGAATTCTTTTGTTATGATATTCTTTTTCCATGTTCAAGTTTAGGTGAAGTATCTTGGAGAAGATGAGGACAATACACCTGTTACTGGGGCTGCATCTATATGTTCTCCATGGGATTTAGTGGTTAGTTAATGTAACTAAGCTTCCTTTCGGTGTCCAAAGAAATTCATTAGTTGTAAGTCATATGAGAAATATTCTTTCTGGTCTTAGTCTGGGACCAGCTTGAGTGACTGTTCAGTTCTCTTTGAACTACAATCTTTTCATCGTCCGCATGGCTTGTGGTTGCCTTTCACAAGATTTTCATATATTCCTTAGGGGAACAGAAAAATAGCCTTCCTTTTGATCTAGAGCACGTTTTAGTGTTTTTTATCTTTTTAATAATTTTGGCCTGAGGAATTCATGATGTGATTTTTTCAGTTTAACCTGTAATGCTGCTCTCAAAATAGCTGTGCTGAAAAAGGAACCATGTAGCCTACCCTAGACATTTGGAATTATATGACTTTAGTTGTTGACATTCAAGAAATTGATGCCATTAACTCTTGTTGTTTCTTATTCTCATACCTCCCTTTTATCCTTCTCAATTCAAATGGGAACTATAATTTGGAGGACTACAAAGAACCTAAGTAATCAGTCATCTTTTTTAATCATGTATTTTTTATTCAATAACTTTTCTGCTCATATGAAGTTATTATAGCAGCCATACCCTTCTTTTTTTGGTTTCCTGAGGGGGAGTGTGTTGTTTTATCCTGAAGGGTGGGTCCTTGCCCTCTTTTTCAATTGTCATGATATTTCTAAGTTATTCAAATTTAAATTATAGTTGACACGCCAACAGACATTTGACCACGATTTTGGTATATATTTGTGTTGGCACAAAATATATAGATATACATTAATTTTTTAAGATAAATATAAAATATATTATAGAAATTTCTTTGTTCCATTTACCATAGGTGTGTTATTTATTGATGCTGACCATTGACCTAGATGGATATTAGAAGTTTGCTGTCCTTTCCAAGTTGCCTTTGTTACATTTTCTTTATTACGTTGAATTAAGTTTGTTTCACAGGTAGACTTACCATGTATATATATTTTGTGCCTTATTCAATTCAATTATGATCTCCCAAGTTAACATTCATAGCATTCTTCAGGTGTTAAATCAGAGTCTTCTCTTTTAATGTCATTGGTATTTTGCCGATTGTGTAGGTTTGTGACAGGTTTCTTACTCGAAAGCCAGTCCAACGACTTTATAACAGAGCCCTCACAATGGGTCTCAAGGATTATGCAAAATTGTATGTTCCTACTGAATTTTGCTTGCAAAAGGAATTTGGTTGATATGTGGGGACTAAGTTTAAGTTTCTAGCATTTCAAGTATCTTTTATTGCAGATTTACTGCTGATCTTACTTTTGATGCAGACATAAGCCTGTGTTAGCTCGACTAGCAAACTGGGAGGGTATAAGAAAGGTACACATTTGTTATCTTGCCAGATAGTGGTTAACCATTATAATTTATTGAGTTTGCTTTTCCAAATATTATTGTTTTAAAAAGTGAATTTACCTGTGATTACACAAGTTGTCTGTGAAAAGAAAAAAGATTAAGCCTTTGCCAATGTATATCTTTTATTTGGTTGAGATATTAAGCAAACATCCAGCTTTAGTGAGAAGGAATCTTTCTAATATCAGAAAACTCGTGCATTCCCTTGATCTGATTAGTAGGTGTACTGTGTATGCAGAATACATCAATAAGTAGACAGAGATTCAGTTTGTTCCTTCTATATTCAAGAACATATGTCCAATAGATGATACAATCAATTAATCAACATTTTTTTTAAGAAAAGAGTAACTACTGAGCATTGATCTCCTGATGAGTTCTTTTTCTTTATGTGTATGTGTAAGGTTTTTGTTTGTTATTTATCTACCTTCTCATAACTTGTGTGTCAAATAAATCCAATTAGTAGACTCTTTAAAGATGTTGATGTATTGATAAGTTGTTGGTACACCTTGGCCATGTTTGTAGGAGAAATATTTAGTGAATCAGTGACATATATGGGATTTCATCTTTAACTTATCATCCGGGTCAATTTTGTAACTTTTTTCTTCTGCAGATATTTGATACGAGATTTTATATTTCTTTTACTGCTTAAGAATTTTATTTTTAATTTTTTACTAATTTTTCTCAGTTCTGACTCTTGCTTTTACCAGTCATGCTCAGTCCGGGAATTCGACAGCCATGCCACTTGCCTTGTTGGAAAGTTTGAGGTAGTCTTTTCTCTCTGTATCATTTGGATTTTATTTCATGGATTAGTTAAGTTGCATTCAATTTTCTCAGACGGTGGATACATTCTATCGCTGCTGTAGCAGTGTGAATTTTACTGGGAATATAGTTGTGCCACTTCTGTGCATCAGTGCATTGGATGATCCACTTTGTACAAAGGAAGCAATTCCTTGGGATGAATGCAGGTATAACCATGAATATTAAGTTCCTGAAGAGACAGTAGATTTCTCCTGGAAATTTATAGTCCATCATCTTATTGACATGTTCTTTGTATAGGGCAAATAAGAACATTGTTTTGGCTACTACTGCTCACGGTGGACATCTGGCATATTTTGAAGGCCTAGCAGCACAAAGCTTGTGGTACTGTTGTCCTTCCTTTTCTTTCCTTGGATTTGCCTTTTTTAAACGACATGAATGAAACTTCGAACTTCTTGAGAAATTTGACTTTGTTATGGTTAGTGTTTCTTTGTGAGATGTTTCCCCAAACTCTTGATGTGGATTTATTACTGTCCCAGCATCAAGCAAAGGGTTATATCTTTCTGTCGGGTTCCAGGCTTAATTCTTAGGAGATATTAGAAACTGTATTTTTAGCAAACCTAGATCGTTCCCTGTTTTGCACCCTTTTTTTCTGAGAATTGAGGTCTTGAAGTGATGAACCACCATCAGATATAGAGCATGATACAAGTCTTTACCTATTTGGTTCATTGTCTTCTACTCTTTTACTAGATTACGACCTCAAGGAACTGTTAAGGTCTTATCTAGATTACTGTGAGCAAATATGCATTGAGCAATAACACATTAAATAAGTTTGAATATTGTTTACATAATTGACGGTGGTTTATTTGACAGGTGGGTTGAAGCTGTCCGTGAGTTCCTTAGTGTTCTACATACTAGTCCATTCATTCATGGACAGAAAAAGGTGCAACGACATGCTGTTCTACCATACTTCTGAATAAGCTCGTGGCCATGTTATTATTATTATTATCTTTTACTTCATGCTAACACTGTTATATTTCTGTATCCAACTTGAGAGCCACCACTACATGTTGCAGGCTCCGACTCATGGCTTGCATTCTTTGCTTGAGTCATCCATCGACAAAGTCCCATTTGTAAATGTCATGGAAGATGGAATGGTAGCTGCAATGACAAGTGATGGAGCACACGACGAGCACAAAGAGGACTTACACAATCCAATAAATCATGACATGAAACCCGAGAATGAGGTTGCTTATGGAGACCAAAGTGGAGATAGAAAAGAGGTTGATGCAGACCTTCAGCAGTCTGCTGTTTCATTAGGGCAAGGAGTCGAGGAAGAGAGTTATGACAATGCTATCCCTGATGTGACTTCTTCTGTCACTGGTTCCATGAATCAGCTCTCTCGACGTTATCGGACATCATTGTGGTTGCTAACCTATATTGCAATTGTTACAACTTGGCCTCTAGTTGGTTCGGTGCTTCATAATATCTTTAGGAAGAAGCTTAAAGGATTCCTACCAGCAGCATGGATCAGAAGATAACTGCTTGTACTTTGCTTTTGAGCAAAGGAATATTTTTTATTATACATCTGCTATTTGTGGCAATAAATGGCCTACAGCCAGGAAAGAGAAAAGAGTGTGTGCTTGTTTGTTTAAACTATTAATCAATTCTTGGAACTTCCCATAGCAAAATATAGTTTTCTTTTAGCAGGGAAGGTGTATGTAAATTTCAAGTAGGAGAATATTTTGTAGAATATGTGGCTCACAAGCTTGTTGGTCTTGATATGAACCTCACTCCAACTTCCATTGAAGTGTTGGCTTTATTGTCTTCCGGTAATTGGTTGTACCATCAGTAATCGAGTGCTGTAATCTTCAACCATTCCAGGCGCAGATGACAATCTAAAATGTATGTTTTACTTTAGCGTTCTTTGTTGCTTTTGTCATACGTGTTTTGCATGCTCTATATGGTGAGGAAGACACGACGTAACTGTTTTATACTTGTTACGATCAAGGTTTATAATTTTGGTTCGTACCAATATAATGAGTCCTGTATTGAGGATACCAATGGTACGATGGGGCACACGGATGGTACACCCAAAATAGCTAATAGATCTATAAAAATATTTTAAAAATAAAACAAAGTTAGAATAGAATTTTTTAAGTTAAAAATAAATATAAATTCAGTATAATTTTAGTAAAAATAATATAAATTAAAAAAAATATAATTTCATATTTTTTTGGGCTTTGAGGAGTAGTTTTGTGGTATGCTCTCAATCATTCTTTCATTAATATTAATTATCTTAAAAAATTAAATTATTAGATTATTTTTTATATGATTTAAACCTTAATATTCAAATGAATTAAGTAATCAATCGATAAATATACTTCGTTCTACCGCCAAATAAAATGACGTAACTCCACGAGCAATGGATCAGGGCTCTCGATCCTATGTATCTATATATCAGTATGATATGTTTGTTGGATCCAATCATGAAATTGATCCCACGACATAGTATACTGATACACCGTATATCATTGGTACATTAATGTGGATAGTCATAGGTTTATTATCGTGAACCACGTGTTCAAGATTGCTCTCGAAGCAATGATGAATATGACATAAATTGGTGTGGAGCATACTAAATGTTATAACTTCTACTTTGGTTACTAATCTACTAAATATCGTAAGATCGATTATCGCACTATTGCTTAGAGAAGTATAACCAACTATCACTACACTGTTATTAGTCGTAAGATTATCTATAATACAACAATTGTGAATACAATGAGTTTCACTTTATATCTATATTGTGTAGGCTCTATTACATTTGTTCAAAATCATTTATTAGCTTCCCCTCCCTCTTCTATGCATAAACTTGATTAGTACTTCGTCGAACTCTATGATTTGAATCTTGGGTGGCATGTGTAAGATATTGCTCCTCGATTCGTGCACCACCCTCAAATTATGTAGATAGGACTATCGGCTCTTGGCATCGTTGCAATCATCGGTCGAGGCATTGCTGTCCACGTAGCTGTCATGTCTCTGGACTGAGTGAGTTATTAAATGTGATTGTGGAGGTGTCTCGTCGCCCGACTTATTCTTTCCAATAGTGTAATTGATACTATTATCTTTTTCTTTGCCTTTGCCTTTATACCCTGGGCAGAGGACTATGACAATTAGGTGTTTGTAGTTTTAAGAGCAGTTTAACTCGATTTTGTTTAGCTCCTTCCGCCACGTTCTAACTAAGGGGGGTTTTTCTCCTATTAGGGATGTGTTTCCTCTTTTTCTATTGCCTAAGTGATAAAACACGAAGGACATTGAGGTTCTCCTACCTTATCAAGTAGAGAATCCTCTTGGTTCTTTATTGCTTCGACCCACTTTAACATCAGCTTTCTTTGTTATAGAATTAAAGGTTGATGGGGATCAATCTTGATTCCTTTAGCTCCTTGTTCAACTCAACTTAGCTCCTTGTTCAACTCAACTTACTGCAACCTTAATCGTATGTTATAGTGGATATATATGTTTCTTCAATCATCTATACAAATAGTCTATTATAGATGAATCAATACGAATGTTGATCAATTATGTTCACAATCACTAGATATCGTATACAAAAGTATATAGACGGTAACCAATAAATTTGGTGCATTCCCTCTAGATTGTGGTCACTACTCGTAAAAAAATATAAATAAGACTTTATTAGCATAATAAATAATTAATATCAAATATAATTTATAATTAATATTGTGTAACTTTTTCTCACCATGATTTATATTGTAACGACACAATATAACTACAATGTTGGAGAATGAACCAATTGTTTCTCAAAATAATTAGTCATCCATAATAGTATCGATTACATCAATAGTGCTCGACAAGAATCGATATTAACATTTATTAGTGCTAACAATAAATCTAATCATAGTTCATTGATATTAACATTTCTTGACCTTTACTCTTACTATAATTAACATATGTATGAGATAAGGTAAAGTGGTTCCACACATTTTATAATTTCATTCACAATCTCTCAAAATCTAGAAAAAAGAATAGTTTTTTCCATCTTCTTTCCTTTGCTCGATCTCAAATACCTAGATTCGAGCATTAGATCGATATAATGAGCTACACATGGAGTTTAAAACAATATTTTTCTTTTTTTTATCAATTGTAAACTGACCTTAAAATTGGCTCCATTGTAATCTGATCTCCTCTACTATAGTATCAATTAAGTTTTTAATATAGTTTACATATTGAATCTTGTCGGAAGCATTAATTGACTTATGAAACACCACCTATCTATTGTAATAAATAAAAAAATTAATGATACTCATTCTTGTTGACATTGTCTAACTGTCATATCACCTCATATTTGTCCCATAACCTCTTGAAGGATTTCACACAATTCTTCAATTATGTCATCTCCTCATCTAAATATATATCGTGGCTCTCCCTCGGTGTTAGAGATTGGATCCCCATGCTAGATTTTTTAATAAAGAAGACCATAATATAGAACTTGAGTTATGTTTATTGGAATCTCGTAGAAGTTAAACTATTTTACAATGAAGGATAAGCTTATGGATCAATATCAATAATATATGGTACGGATCTCCTACCAAGTCCTCTCATAAAATCACATATTCCACCCTGCCTCATGCTATCAGTTCGACTTAACTGAGGAGAGGTAGTTGGCTATCTTATGCTGACCGACCTCAGGATTTTTTGTGGTACAAATCCACAACTATCACCATGCTCCCATTGTGAGTTAGGTGATCGATGCTTCATTACTTCATCGTACATATATTGATACTCTAATGATGCACGAATACAAACTATGAGATATAGATAAATTTCATTACCACGACCCTCACGATCGTTATAATCTAGTTCATAATCTAGTTCATACATAGCATTCTTCTTCAACTTCTATCTTTTTTTTTATTATATCTTCCCGTAACTTATTTTCAGAATCGTTTTACATTTTACAATATCGAGATACTCGTTAGTCAAATGCATGATGAACTTTTGTTGATGTAGTCATACAAAAATATATATATATTATTCCCCTACATACATCTGATTCCAAATGTTATCATATGCTATTTTTTATAGTGTCATGTTCTTACCAAATTTAAAATTAAATTATTTATGAATAAAACTAAAACTAGGCAACCACTAACTCAAACTTAAATATTCTAAACTTTCTGATTTTGATAATTTAATTTAATGAGTAAGTTGTCTTGGGTCAGAATGTTACAATAAATTTGACATTCAAAATTGACATCATCACAAATCGTGGGACCAACTCATCAGAATAACCATCGTAGTATGGTCCGTACATCATATAAATTAAAACAGTACACGTACTCCTGGAACAGGACATGCGAAGCAGGCAGATTACTACGAAGGCGAAGAAGATCCCATGTTCACGCAGCCATTGATCTCCCTCTCTCTAAACCTTCATGTCCTTATCGATCAGGCCATGGACCGATGCCATACCGATCCAATGCCACATTGAATTTAAAAAAATACAAAAAAAAATACTGAAAACAAAAGACAATCAACTAGTATAGAACATTTACTATCCTGTATCGAATGGCACAGAACCTATACTGACCAAATCTGACCATATAGGTCTTGTACCAAACGGTAGTCCCTATTAAGACATTACGGTACCATCCAGTTTTACCTTATATGCATTATGATAAGCTGTTGGAACAAGTAAGCTATCGGATCGGAATACCACACGTCCCATTCCATATCAGATGATGCTCTAAACATCATCTATTGAACTGTACATCTACAGCAGAAACATCCATGAGGTCTACATAAAGACATATACTATGATCACATTCAAGATCAGCTAGCAGAGTCTAGAACATCAGATTGCTTAACCAGTCAATTCCTTGCCATTGCAACCCAGAAATAATCTTGTCGGACAAGTGTAAGAGAGGACTGTTTAGTCTAAGTTTATCACTAGGGATCTCAAATTTCTAAGCTACCTCTAGTTAATTCCAGTTAATGAAGTCTAACATGCCGCTAGAAAATAGTCTCCAAAAGCCCTCTAAGTTTGAATATGAATCAAGGATTTATGGTTACAGGCTTTGCTAACTTATGTAGAAGGTCATAAATGAGTTTCTCAGAACAAAGAGGAATACATGCTATTCCTGTTTGTCACGCACAAGCCGAGCCCGATGTCTCAGTTCTGCTTTTTTCCATTTCACCATGAGATGGCAAAGCGTGAAGAGAGTGTTTACCTGAAATGATAGAATGGGGAAGTCTGAGCTTAACAACACAAAAGAAAAGATAGTTGCAAGTACAATAGGGGGAGGCATGGCAACTAACCACGATTAAGATAGTTATGATGAGAAGTGGGCCAGACCAGAGAACTGAGATAAAGAGACCATGGGGATCAAAATAGTTCTGGCTTGAAAAGCTCTTCCAGTTCTCCCCCAGGAAACTGTTTATCCTCTCAGCAAAGTAGACACCAGAAACTGGAGAAAAATAATAATAATTAGATGAGGAAATATAGAAATAAAAAAAGGTGCTTTGAATTCACTTGCGGTTAACATTCAGAATGGATGCTCAAAATCATTCTCACTTTGTTGAGAAGCACAAAAACACTCATGACAATGCTTAAGCATCATTTTATCCACGACACCATTCTGGTGACATGTTGAGATCATACAAACAGTGACAGGGTGTACATGTAGTCTTATTCACTTATCCTCATTATTTATATAAAAAGCCTTTCAACTATTAGAGGACTTTTATTCATCCAAAATTGAGGACTGGGTTCCATAGTGGTTCAATACCTAGACCAAA